GGCAACGGCAGGCTTCACTGTTAGTATACGAGCGAGAGGCGTCTCGACAGAGAGAAGTTCCCGCACATCACTGGCATCCTTGCAAATGACTCACTCCACGTTGGACGCAAATGGGAAGTCGTTGCGTGCCTGGTGGAGAAAGCTGATTTGACAGCCTGCGGTGCCCCACCTGTCCCGTTACCGATACCCCGCTCATGTCGTCCCACTGCACAAGCATTTCTTGGCTGGTAGGAGCCAAGGCGGGGTTTCCCAGGCACCTCAGCCAAGCGTGATGGTTTTAAAACTGCCGAATTCCCACGGGAATTGAGATATGCCGAACGCACGACTATGCCGAACGCACGACAACTGCCTCTTGCTTTCCACGTGGGTATGCAAGCTGCAACCACAAACCAAGGTGGGTTCGGATCCGTGGGATCCCTTTGGAACCTGTATGGGCCATTCTTAGCATCACATACGTCCACAACCTATAAATGGCTTGAGCGAGCCACTCGTGAGCCAGAAACTTCCCTATGCCAACAGTCCTCTAATTACACAGTCAACGGTTCCAACCTGGGAAGGGATCACCGCTTCGGAAGACACAAAGGGCGTGCCCCACTCCCACCGCACTCCCCTGTGCGGACGCCAATCAGCACCGCAGCTTGTTCTGCACACGGCACACACCACCCTCCAACCCGGAATTAATTGATGCCCGCCATGCGACCCAGGATTTGTTTGCCGGTGTTGGAGGGATTGCTCGGCGAGTCGGTCCGCGTTTCTCACGACATTGACCGCTAGTTGAAGAAGCCGCACCGCTTCCATTCCTGCACGTAGCGAGCCACCAGCGCAGGCTCGACGCTATTAGCCCTGCGCAGCGTCTCAGAGACGCGCCGTGCTTTGGACGTGTCTAACACGACCCCTCCCGTCGCCATGCGCTCAAAGTCGTGTTTGAAGAAGTCTATCAGCATATCGCTGCTGCCATCCGCTGGCCGCTGCCCATGGCTGCCTGTTCCCGCTTCCGCCCTCGCCACCCACTCGTCCAGGCTAACGAGAGCAGACGGCAGCTCGAGGTCCAACTCGCCCGCAATGGTCGACATGACGCCGTGCCAATCCTGCCGCACGGGGTTCTCGACGTGGTAGATCAGATCGACGGGGGATGGGGACAGCAGGATCTCGGACATGGCTGCAGCCGCAGTGTCCACCGGCAGCCAGGAGAGGGTCTGTGTTTTTTGTCAGTGCGACTCGGAAAGCCAACCTCAATTTTCCGTGTGACCTTTGGACGTATCTTACCCCTTTGAGATTCGGCAGCGCTGAGATGCTGCTGCTCTGCGACAGCTTTATCAGGGCAGGGAAATGCTCCTTCGGGTTCCAAATAGCCCCCGTGCGTGCCCCCGAGATCTGACCCAACCGCACGCTCGTCACCTCGACCTGCCCGCGTAGCTGCCCTGCCACCTTTGCCAGGATCCGCTCGCACACCAGCTTGGCCTTTCCGTAGCCAAAGTCGTTGGTGCTCTCGGCGTCATCTAGGACATCCTCCGGCACAATGTACGAGCCCCGCGAGCGGTGATACTGGCCAACGACGGCGATGGATGACACAAAAAGTAGCCTTGGCACTGCACTCCTCGACGAAGGGCGTTGCTCGGAGCTATCTCGGGCCAGCTGGACTAGATGGTGCAGGAAGAGGAACTGGCTCTCAAAGGACGGCATTGTTCGCTGAAAGTCGACAGGCCACGCGCAGTGCAGTATGTGAGTGACGCGCCTGCAGAGGCTGGCGTAGGCCGAATCGTGAAGACCCAGGAGAGGCTTGGACGGATCTGCCTGAACGACGTCAATCTTGGCTTCGTGCTCAGGCAAGATGATGGCGCCCTTGGACCTCGCGTTTTTGATCTGCGCGTTGACTGTCTCCTTGACCTCGCCATTGACAATGCCCGGCACAACTCCCCCTCCCCGGTGTCGAATCAGGCAGATTACTTGTTCCACGTCGGGAAGCGATGCCAAATGCGCAAGGAAATACGACCCCAAGCTGCCGCTGCTCCCCGTCAGCAGGATGACATGACGGCGACTAGGGTTCGGCAGGATGCCGTATCGCGTGACATAATCGTCAATCATGGCCTGCTCGGATATTCTGCCGGCTGCTCGTTGTTGCCCAGCAGGCCGTAATGCCTCTGCCATACGACTAATCGTGGGATTTTTGTACACAAAATCCATCTTGACTTCGTCGGCTGGCAGGAAATGGGCCGTCGCTGCTTGACGACTCACTGCTCGCTTTACAGACCTCCGGATGCGTGCGGCCTGCAGCGAGTTTACCCCAAGCTCGAACAAGTCGTCGTTGTAGCCCCAGACACCGTCTTTAACGCCTATGCTGTCAAGTTCATTCTGAACAAGTCCCTTGAGGCTCGCTTCGAGTCTTTCGGGGTCAAGAGGCGGACCACTGTCGTTGGTGCTGGAGTCCACATCGTCGTAGGCCTTTTGTATCTCTGCCTCGAACTTGCGGTAAGCTTCTTTTCTCAAAACCGACCCCTTGTCGGAGCGGGGGAGTGGCTTGTCAGGCGGCGCCACAACGATACTGGCCAGGGATGAAAGTTGAGCATGGCTGTCCATCTGGCGTCCCGCTTCGACAATGATAGGCCAGATGGCGGCTTTAAACGCCTCGATATCCTCAGCGCCTACCCCATTCTGTGCTGCGGGCTCCACGATGACACCTAGCTCAAACTGCCCATCACCAAACGCTACCGCTGCCTTGACCAGCTCGCTCTCGGACAGCATCGACTCAAGGATGCGCGGCAGTACTTTCTCCCCGGTAACGAGCACGATCAGGTCGTCCTTGCGGCCCACAGCTCGGAAGTCACGCCCTGGGTATTTATCACTCGTGATAAGCCAGTCCTGCAAGACAAATGGCCCATCCCAGTTGAACGGCACAGCTGTCAGCTGGTAGTACTGCTGGGAACCACTCCCGGTGGCAGCGCCATCCTGCGAGATTGGCTCTACCTTGATATCGAAGCCGTCGTCGCGCAGCCTCCAGTACCGCCAGTCGTAGTCAACAGGCGGGACAAAGATGGGAGCTAGCGGCCCGATCTCGGTCGTCCCGAAGTGCGCGAGCACCTTCACACCCGCGGCGGCCAGCTTCTCGCCCACGGCCAGCTTGAGCGGACCCCCGCCACACGCAACAAACTGCAGCGGCAGCAGGGCCCGGATGCCTTCATCGAACGGCAGGGCGCAGATCTCGTCGAGCACGTGTGGGACGGTCATCAGCGACTTGGCGCCGAACTGCTCAATTGCTCGTGCTGTTGACAGCCCCGTCGGAACCGCATGCACCGGCGGCAGCAAGAACGGCTTGCCGATGGCGAGCGCGAGGCACGGCACGACCAGGCCAAATCCCTGTTGTGAACCAAAGTCAGGTTAAGTGATGTTCTAAGCAGAGGAACGGGATCCTGCAAATTCACTCACGTGGTATAACGGGAGAGTTGACATGTTCAACGTCCCTACATCCTCCTCGTCGGTGCGGATGTGGCTGTGTGCGTAGCCCAGCAGATATTTGTGCGACTGGAAGATGGCCTTGGGCAGCCCCGTGGTGCCTGACGAGTGCAGAATCAGCGCATCGCGGCCGCGCTCGTCGAAGTGTCCCGGGGGGCACACGGTGATTTTCTGCTCTGCATGAGAAACGCGCCCGTTGCTGATCTCGTCTCCAGCCCCTCTCAAGTCGTCCTGGAATGGTCGCGCTATTATGTGAATCGTGGTTTCGGAAGCCGCTGGCGCTGAAGCGGGAGTGCCGGGTGCACCGTTCTTAGCCGGCTGCTGTGACCCTAGAACGTTGGCCATGCGCGGCGACATGATGATGGCCTGCGCCCGGATCGTATTGACCAAGTGGTCGACGGCCACCGTGCTCAGCCGTGCGGATAGCAAGGCTACCTGCGTCGCGTTATTCTCTATTCCACTTCCACGTGCACCATGTGATTGCGGTTATGAGGTTGGGCTTACAGGCACTCCCAGGGCCATCAGCGAGAACAGGTGGATCAACAAGCCCAGGTCGCTGTCCATGAAGAGCGCAACGGGCGCGCTCTTCTCGGCAGGTCTTTCGGCCAACCCCAGCTCCGCCTCCAGTCTCCTCGCACAGCGCCACACGGCGTCCCGCAGCTGCCGCATGGTGACGGCGGCCACGGGTGGTGGTGCATCGGGATCGCTGCCCTCGGCGGGCTTGGTCGCCTGGTAGCAGAACAGGGTCTTGGGGTTGGTCTCGGCATTGTATTGGATCAGCTCGGGAACGCTCCGCATGCGCGTGCCGTCGGTGGCTGGCGACTCGTGCAGGTCGATCGTGGCCGGCTTGAAGTCATGGTGGTTGCCGTGGCTCCAGCCGTTGCTCCAGCCGTTGCTGCCGTTTACAGCCGAGAGTGCGGGCATTTCGACGAGTGGTGCGAACTTTGGTGTCTTCCTTGGGTCTCTGCTTCGATGGGGAATGTATTATGCGGGACTCGGTGGCCTGTTTCTATTGTCCGTGGAGCTGAAACGAGCTGTCATATTGCATGTTGGCACAGCGTTGAGGTTCCGGGTCACGGGCCCGGGCTGGTTACTCCGGTCCCAAATGCCGGGACAGATGCAGCTGGTGCACGCTGCCTCGTTGCCTTGTCATGCAATGCTGTGGCCCAATTTTAATATCGAAATTTGGAATGTTCTATTTGGACTAGCAATGGTTACCCGGTTTTAAGACCTGGGGAGGTCCGCGCCGCCGGCATCGCCATGGTTTCTGGGAATTTGACCAGGTACTTTCCCGATGCCCTCTTTCCCCCTCTGCCCGAGTCGCTATTGCCTTCCATGTCGATGTCCGAGAAAATAGTTTAATTGCATCGGCATGCTCCGGGCAGATCTTTAAATCACGAGCTCGAACTCGACTTCAAGCAATGGAATGGCACGGATACGTTGTTTTGTGTGTGCAACGACTTGCTGGCAAACAAAAACCAAAAACCAACCGAGCAAATAGCGGGTAAAAACAAAAATCTCTCCGCACATGCACGCAAAAAACAAAGGTTTGACAACTGAGGGATTCGAACCCTCGCTCTTTCGAACTGCCAAGGAAGCTTTCCATGCGGTAGCATGTCGGGATTTCCTGAAGACAGCGCCTTAACCGCTCGGCCAAGTTGCCTGTTGCAAGCTAGGTTGTTGCTTGCTTTTGATAAGTTGTGGGTAGGTAATTGCAGTATGTGGGATGGGGCGGTCCTGCGGTGTTGTGGATCTTGGGTGGACTCGGCCGGGTTGTGAAAGCTTCTTGTCTCCAGGCATATGATTGGGCACGAGTGGGGCATTTGTGCGTAATTTGTTTGGCAATGGTTTGCAGTGTGTGTTCTCCTGGAATTTGCGCGAGGTTGCGGTTGCTAATTACTTTGGAGCTGAATAAAAATCTGTATTTAATTACAGAGATATCGCGGATAGCAAGTATTAAAATAAAATGGTTCATAGTTCATGCTTCACATATTTAGTTCACTGCCACTTTTGAACTGATAGTCATTACTTCGTTTGCCTTTATTGCGGGACTTTGAACGCGGAAATTGACAATTACTTGTTTTAATTGGCCTTTTTCACGAAGGGGAATTATGTTCAAGGCCGTTTGTTTACTTTGCGATTCTTTCAGTAATGTATTTTTGTTTGCGACAGACTCTTGGCTTGCCGTTACTATAACGGCAAGATTGAGATTCGCCCCCTTACTAGCTATCTTATAACTTTGTTTGTTCTGCTTTCCAAACCTCCTGCATTGTCTAGAACCCCCCCCCCTTTTGGCCACTTCCCGAGCTGTACCTCACGCCGCAACGCGCCGGAAGAGAAGCGCCTTGGTCGGGTCCGGGGCAATGACGACACCGCTCCAGACGCTCTGGTACCGCTCTGACTCGCCGTCGGGCATCCGGATGTCGTAATGCAGCAGTAGCTGTGCCAGGATCATCTTGATCTCGTTGGCCGCAAAGTATCGGCCCGGGCACGCGTGCCGCCCGAAGCCGAAGCTCATATTCTCCTTGGTCACGCTGACGTACTGGTACTGTTCGCGGTTCTTGTACCCTAGCGGGTCCGGCACGTCGGGTTCGCGGAGCGCCGAGAAGCGGTGGGGGTTGAAGTCCTGTGTTTTGGCGTTTCAAGGTCAGGGGCTACTCCGCAGGGTGGGTGAAGACAGCAGGTTTCGTCCCAAAAATTGGCTCAGACTTACATCGGGGCTCGGATAAAGGCTCGGGTCTCGCAGCACGGCCGTGTTGGCCGTCTCGATGTACGTTCCCTTGGGAATGCGGTCGCCGTTCTGAAGCGTGATGGGCTGCATTGCGTACCGCCGAAAGGCATCTTCCCCCGCAGAGCATCATGGTCAGTTTACGGAGAAGTACTAGAGGGCCCAGGCTTCAGTTGTGGATGGTACTCACCGATAAACGGGGGGTTCAGTCTTTGAGACTCGCGCATGACACTGTCGACAAGCTTCATGTCGTAGAGCGCCTGTGTCGTCATGACGCCGCCGCTGTCGGCCAGAACAGACTTGATCTCGGCGCGCAGCTCCTCCACCACCTCAGGCCGTATGGCAAGGTCATAGAAACTAGAGTGCGGATTAGTGACTGCTGCGTCTCTAGTCTGCAGCAGTTTTAGATGCAACTCACAGATTCGTCACGGCCAAAGACGTCGTGTGGATCGCAGCCAGCAGGATAAGCAGCAGCATGTCAGTCAGGTCGCCGGCGTCAGTAACGCCACTCGCCGCCGACTTCTCCATCAGCCACTGGAACAGATCGTCCGCCGGCGGCGGCACTGCATCTGCATCGTCAGCCTTGCGCCTCCCCTCTATGTCCATCCGCCGCTGCTCGATAACGGGTCGCAGAAACGCCTTCATGCGCCTGCGGTGTTCGTGCACGCGGGCGACCTGGGGCACGAGGGGCGTGGCGGCGGCGACGGACCGCAGCCAGGCGGGCCAGCGCTTGAGCGCGGCCGACGCCGCTACCAGGTCGACGGTGAACTGCACCGCGCAGTGCATGTACTCGGCCTCGCGGCACAGCTCGGGCCCCAGGAAGATGTTGCCCGACACGATGGCTACGATGCGCAGCAGCACCCCGCTCAGCACGACGGGTGTCCACTCGGCACCATCGCAGCCCGCAAGCTCCGACGCCACCGTGCGCGCGACCTCGTCCGAGAGGCGCGGGTTGATTCGCCCTGTAGGGGAGGTCAGATGTTGTCTATGACGGTGGCGGTGTGGTATTGTGGGGCGCTGCTCTCACCGAGGTTCCTGGTCAAATCGACCTTGACGACGTTGTTGATGATGGTGGTCTTGTCTTTAGACGGGAACAGCCGGACATGGTTATTCTCGAACGTCTAATTGCGAAGTGGTCAGAAAACACTACCACAACTCTGGCCAAGATAAACGGCTCAAACCTTCTCGAAGGCCTTCAGGACATCCAGCTCGTTGTCTGGCCGGCGTCGCAACTCGTCGAGGTAGCAGTTGGGCACAATGAGATGATCGCCTGCGTGACAACACGATGTCAGCGATGGGATGCTCATGCAAAAAAAGCATACTCTCAGCATATGGAACTAAGGATTTACCATCGGGAGTTGTGAGACGGTAGATGGCCGTCTTGAACTGGCGATATCCCTGATCGAAGAGGGCCGCCGCATGGGACAGGTACGCCTTGCCCCTTTTGTCGGCACCGCCGTATTCGCCGCCCAGCAATGGGTACCTGCTGGCGAGATACCACGCCTGCTTTGTAGACCATAGCCCAGCCGCGAAGAGGAGAAACAAGGCGCTGGCGGCGACATAGCCAAGCTTGGTGTCGAGGGTTTCAAAGACGGAGGAGGCCATTATTGCATTCTGGCCGCGGCGTCAAGAGTGGGAATGGCGTAGCTTGTTTGTGCAATGCCATGGGTTGAAAACACAAGGGCGGTGCGACGTCTTGCGAGTTTTTCTACTTCACTTCAAGTAGCATACGTCCCGTCCCTCCGGTGTCTGCGGCATGCACGACTGCAGCGGTTAAACTGCCGTGCTGCGCGGTGCTGCATCCCCAAATCAAATCCCCATGCCGCCCACTGATGCCGCATTTCTGTGAGGGGTTCCTCGAACTACTGGTAGCAATATTACACGGGCCTCCGTTCGGCCGGTAGTTCCTGTCGGGGATCAGTCTTGGGATACCGAGGTGATTTACGAATTCGTTTCGTCGTCAAGAACTTTGGACAGACAGCATTGTGAGATGCACCGCATTCAGCCTCCATATTAATCACATGTAATCTTAAGAAGAAATGAACTGTGTGAAATGTTTCGGAAAACAGGGAAAACCATTTCATGGTTTATCTCCGGATCTAAGTAGCACGTGTACATACAAGCCCCTGCCCCTTATATGCGCCTCCAGTTCCACCCAGCCTGGACGCACCTGCTGAGCAAAATCAAGGCCGAACCTACCCCCAGAGCCAGCCCAGCAAAGATCTTGAGGTACAGGTAGCCGCCGTCGTCCCTGCTGACGAGGCCACCGGCAATGGGGTTGCTAGTCAGGGCGGCGATGCTGATGACGCCAAACGTGGTACCGAGGCGGATACCCATCTCACGCACCTCGGGCGACATCTGCAGCACGAGCGCGGGCGTCATGCCGACAAACGTGCCCGATGTGAAGCCGAACACGGACGCAAAAACGACCGTGGCCGCCGTGCTGTCCGTCGGGGCGGGGATCCACAGCGCCAGCACCGCCACCGCAGACAGCGCCGTCGTGACGATCATGACGTTGAACCGACCTACCTTGTCGCCCAGCCAGCCGGGGATGATGCGGCCGAAGATGCTGTTATAACGCAACCGCAACCGCAATAGTCAGCGCAGCTCAGGTGTCAGAAGCAGAAGTAGCAGTAGTCCTCACCTGACACCATTGAGAATGGCGATCTGGTAATTGGCCAAGTCGGAGCCCATACCGCGGTACTGGGCCTCGAGCACAAGGAAGTTGAAGGGGACAAACATGCCGCCCGAGAAAAAGGCCAGGCCGACGGCGTTAAGCAGAAAGGCTTTCTCGCCCAGCGGCCGGAAAAAGGCCATCAGCTCCCAAGGGGTGGGCTTGGGCGGGTGCCGGGACTCGAGGACGAGACAGGCGATCACGAGTAGAAACAGGAACATGAAGGCGCAGATGCGTAGCGCCCACGCAAAACCCACCAAGGGGCCGAGGCGCGTCACCATGATTCTGCCGCACAAGTGTCATGTTAGCGAGAGCAAGAGTGACAAACACAAAAAGGGGAATAGAGAGGTGAGAAAAGAAATATGAAAAGGGGCATGAATAGAGGGTAGAAGAAAGACGTACGGCAGGATGCAGGCACTCAGAGACGAGCCCGAGGCGACGATCCCGAGGGCCAGGGCGCGGCGGTGGTGGAACCAGCCGCCGACGGCGCCCATGGCAGCGGAAAAGACAGCAGCGGCGCCGATGGCGCTGCAGATGGACTGGGACAGCAGGATCTGGTAGTACTCGGTGGACAGCGAGGCCATCATGAGGCCGAAGACGTGAAACAGGGTGCCGGCGTAGAGCAGGGGCTTGGGGCCGTAGTTGTCGTAGAGCTTGCCGTGGATGGGCATGGTCAGGTACATGACGAAGACCTCGATGGACGGAATCCAGGCGACGACGCCGGGTGGGTAGGCGCTCAGCTGGTTCTGCTGATATTGGGCCTCGAAGATGCCGATGCAGTTGATCCACCCGAAGCTGCAGAACAGGCAGCACCACGCGCCCAGCACCGCGCACCACGCCCGGAACCCGCCGTCCGGGGGAGGTGAAACCGCGGTGGTGGCGGGGCCGAGTTCGGGGCCAGGTGGTAGTTGATCCGACGACGACGAGGGAGACCCTGCCGACAGCGGCTTGAGGTGTTTTTCGGCATCTGTGTCCGTGTCGACAGCCATTCTTGGAAAATGTGGCGTTGGTTAATTAGAGATTAGAGTCAAAAGTGCATCTACCAGCAGCAAATGCTGTGCGAAAAGCGTGTCTGCTCGCTATCTCAGACTAACAGCCCAGTTTTGTTTGTCTCGCGAAAAAGCAAAAAGGAGAGGCTGCAGGGGGAGCCACGCAGCGCGAGCCTACCTGGTTGATTTCAAATCAGCGCAAACGGCAATGCTTTTCGCTCTTACCGACAGGAAGGCACGCAGGTCTCGTCTGTAGTGTCACGGTCCGAATG